CAGTAAGAGTCCGTTTGCTTCTCCATGTTTGCTGGTCAAGAAGAATGATGGTACTTGGAGGTATTGTGTTGATTACCAACAGCTCAACCAATGGACAGTCAACAACAAATTTCCAATTCATGTGGTCGAGGATTTTTTAGATTAGTTGATAAGGTCAATTTTTTCTTCAAAAATTGATTTACAGTCGGGATATTGGAAGATCCTCATCAAGAAGAAAGATGTCAATAAGACATCATTTGAAACTCATCACGACCACTTTGAGTTTAACGTAATGCCATTCGACCTAACAAATGCACCAGCCACATTTCAATCATTAATGAATGATATATTTGGACAATACTTACGGAATTTTGTTTTGGTGTTTTTGACGATATTTTGATTTATAGTCCTTCTTTAGAGGACAATGTGTATCATTTGGAATTCGTTTTGCAAATTCTTAAAACTAATCAACTTTTTTCAAGAAGGGTAAAGTGTTTTTTGGACGACAGTAGGTTGAATACTTGGGGCACATTATTTCTTCTAAAGGAGTTGCTACAAACCCCTCTAAAGTGGAGGCAATGAGAAATTGGCAACTTCCAAAAATTTTAAAATCCTTGTGTGGATTTTTAGGGTTGACTGAATACTACATAAAATTTATTAAGAACTATAGTGAGCTTAGCCGACCTCTCACCAATATGCTAAAAAAGGACAATTTTACTTGGTCTACAGCTGCTAAGGAAGCTTTGAATTATTGAAGGATGATATGTGCAGAGCCCTTATCTTAGCTTTGCCAGATTTTTTGAAAAGTTTTTGTTTAGAGACTGACACGAGTTCCGTGGGATTGGGGTTGTCTTATCTCAAGAAGGTCGTCCTATAGCTTATCTTAGTAAAGCACAAGGAGTTCGACATGCAAATATGTCCATCTATGAGAAATAATATTTGGCGATTTTGATGGATATTACAAAATGGAGACATTATTTGGAAGCTTGACCATTTATTATCAAAACTGAACATGAGCCACTCAAACATTTATTGGAACATAAATTAACAATGACTATCCAGAAATGAGGCCTTACTAAACTGCTTGGACTCGACTATACAATTAAATTCAGGAAAGGAAGTTCAAACAAGGTGGCTGATGCTTTAGCGAGATGTTATAAAGAGGAATTTGAACTTCATACTCTCATTACCACTATGATTACACCTACTTAGGTTCAAGAAATTGAAGCTACCTATGCTGATGATACTTTGGCTAAAAAGGTTATTACAACCCTGTCAATACAAACTATAGGACCTGAACAATGGTCATATGTTCGAGGAGTGCTCCGATTTCGGGGGAAATTATATGTTGGGTCTGCTGGTACATTGAGGCAAGAATTACTTAGAAGCTTTCATGATTCTCCCTTGGGTGGACATTCAGGTGGTCAAGCTACTTACCATCGTATAAAAAGTTGTTTTTATTGACCTGGGCTAAAATCTATGATTCTTACTCACGTGCAACAATGTGATATCTTCCAACGAACGAAGAGTCAGCATATTTCTCCTCCAGGTCTGTTGCAACCCCTCCCTATTCCTACTCAAGCTTGGATTGTTATTACTATGGACTTTATTGAAGGGCTTCATACTTCATCTAAGTTCAATACGATTCTAGTGGTTGTTGATAAATTCACTAAGTATAGTCACTTTATATCCCTTTCCCATCCATATACTGTTGTGGAAGTGGCTCGGAAATTTCTAGATAACATTTATCGACTTCATGGTTAACCCCAAATTACAATATCAGATAGGGACAAAATCTTTACAAGCTTGTTTTGGAAAGAGTTTCTAAAATAATTGGGGACATCTACCCTATTCAGTACTGCCTTCCATCCGGAAACAGATGGCCAAACAGAGAGAGTTAATCAGTGCTTGGAGCAGTACCTATGTAGCCAATGTTTTTTTAAGCCAAAAGATTGGGCGAAGTGGCTACCTCAGGCCGAGTGGTGGTACAACACCAATTTCCACACTGTCATCGGCACCACACCATTTCAAGCACTATATGGCTATGAAGCCCCATTATTACAACAACAAACCACTACTCAAGTGCAATCAGTTCAGGAGATCATGCAACACAGAACATAATTGAGTAGAGTTCTAAAAGAGAATTTACTACCAGCTCAGAATAGAATGAAACAACAGGCAGATCGACATCGTACTGAACGTGAATTCAATGTGGGAGATGATGTTTACCTGAAATTACAACCGTATTGACAAACTTCGTTGGCCCTAAGAAATAACTTGAAGCTTTTTGCCAAGTATTTCAGTCCTTACAAAATCATTGAAAAGATTGGATTAGTAGTTTACAAGCTTCGTTTGCCACCACAATCCAAGATTCACCTAGTTTTTCACATGAGTTTATTGAAGAAAAAGATTTGGTCAAATGTGCTTACCTGTCTCGATGCTCCAGAGGTAGGAGATGACGTACAATTGAAAATTTACCCGGTTATTGTTCTTGACAAGTGGAGCGTGGAGCGTCAAAATTGGCCAGTTACTCAGCTTTTTATTCAGTGGTCGAATTTTTCACTGGAGAACGCCACTAGGGAGGATTATTCTGCCTTGAAGTCTCAATTTCCTAACTTCGATCCTTGGGGTCAAGGATCTACTGCAGGGGAGGGTAATGTCATGGATATGACAGAGAAACCAAAGATGAAAGGGGATTTGGGGTTAAGTACGATGAAATTAGGGCTGAAAGAGGTGAAAATTAGAGAATTAGGGATTAAAGAATCGGCTGAAGAAATGTGGAGCCAAAACGACAAAGGAATTGGCGTTGAAGAAACAGAGAATCAAAACGACAAGAGAAATGGTGTTGAGGGAAAGGGCTCAAAGCAAGTTGATCCATTGGAGTAATTGAGGTTGATCGGTTGGGCAAGTAAATCCAATTTAGCTTGAGGAAGTAATGGCAATAGTACATTGTACAAAATAAAAACAGAATGGATTGTACTGGAAATCAAAGAAAAATCTAATGAAATTCTGAATTCCTTTTTGCTTCTTCTTCTGATTTCTCAATCCTTTCTACCCTAAACATAACAGATTTATCATCTTATCCTTTACTTTTACCTGATTTTATTCATCTTTATTTTTGTTACATTTCCGTCCAAGCCATATTTTTTTTCTTTAATCGGGCTCCGATGAACATTATGGATGTAAATAGAAATATTAAAGGGTTGGCATATCTTACCATATTTGACTTTCACGTTAACTTTTGTGGATTTTTATAGATAACTTGGATATTTTTTACACAGTGGCATTAACAAATGATATTTTTATTCAATTTAAATTTTAAAAATTAATATTTTTAGTGGAAAACCTTCATTTTTCTACTCGTAATCCATGGGAAGCCCAGCTCACGTAGAAAGCCTTCCCGCCGTTCCTCTTAGGTTCGTAAATGGGTCTATTATTTTTTCCTTTTCTCATATATATCTTATTATTATATTAAAAATTCGTACATTTGAAAAAAGAACCCTTTAGAGAAACTTGAAGGACAGAAGATGATATTTGAAAGTGATGAAAAGAAGAAGAAAGAAAGAGTGATGCAACTCGTGACTCAGCCTTTACCGATAATGGGACATAACGCAGTTATGGACTCAAAAAGCTTTCGAAGATCTTGTTGGATCCACTACAAAATCTCCATATATCTATCAACCAGGTCCATAAGCCCTTGTTTCTAGTTTCCCCATTTCAGTCCTCCTCTTCTGAGTCTTTTAACTCGAAATGCATTGGACTCCATCACTGGCCATAAACTCTGAAAATATGTCAAAACCCAAATGAAGGAAAATTATACATCTTGATCCCTTTATGCAATTATGATATCGTGGGGATATGTAACAGTGAGGGGATATACGTATTTTCACACTACGGATTGCATCACCATGCTCCAACTTCATATCATCAAAATCACTTATTGTTGCTACGCTGATAGGTGTGTAGATAGAACGTTCGATGAATTATCCGTTAATTGTTCGTATAACATTAGTTTTTATTCATTTATTAAACTATATAAACAAGTAAGAAGAAGTTTTATATATTCATTTAATAAATCAACAAACATAGAAAATTAGTTTATCTAGTTATTCTTTTTCTTTTATTTTTTATATTTTAAATAGTAGCAAAGATAGAGGTTAAATTAAATTGATTACGATATGAGCTTTGAAGTTTAAACTGTGAAGTTTAAAGATTAATGACATAATTTAACTTTTTTTATTAATATATAAAACCACTCTCAAAATAAACAAACTAACATCCTTACGTGCAAAGTTATAGGTTGTGGTGAATGAGAAATTGGCTGTTGTACCATAGAGGGAGGATGAATCGAGTAATTTGCTGCGTTTTTTTAATGTGGGACAATAGAAGGACTAAACTAGGTATTGGACCCCTTTTATCATAAAGGCCGTACAAGTATACCAAAGTTAATCTCACATTTCATCATCTTCTGACGATTCCCTTTCCTTCCCGGCATGTCTTTTGCCTCCGTATCTTTGTCCATTGATCTTGTTCTTTTTGCCATCGACAAATCTTTTTCCATTTTCTCCCTTAAACAAAAAAAGAACAGAACTCCATATATATAACTCATCACTTTCATTGAATCACTGTCACCCCCAAATAGCCTGTGGTAATGAAAACTGAAAACCACTTGCCCACTGGCTATTCAATCCCCCCTATGAGAAGAGATATTCAAATTCTTTTTGCCTTCTATTTTTTTTGTAAGTTTTGGGATTGATTGGTCAAACCATATTCAGTCCTGCCAGTAACTTGTGCTTGAAAATGGCTACATCACTAATGCTGTCAATCAGTCATTGAGTCAGTGAAGGTGACAGAAAACCATCTCCTTCCAATTTAAACGAAGAATCATATTCATAATCCTTTTTCGTGTGTTAGGTTATTCACTATCATAGAATATTCTTCACAAAAAGACAGAAAAAAAAGCTGCACATAATATGTAGAAACCGATGGTTGCACTGTATGAAAGGCATAATTAGTTAATTAGTAGCTAATTGGGAAGATAGTAGACATCATAATATATTTCATTAGATGGAATCCTGTGATCTGCCAGTATACGAGCTGAGGCTGAGCTCAAGTGAAGCTCGAGAGGCGGTGTAACCATCTTCGGACCTGTACCACCCAAAGTAGCGGCTGTCTGGCTCGGGTTTCATGTTACTGCAAAACTCACTGATGTCCTCGCCGTGCATGGGGAAGAGAGGCAGGGTTTCCATTCGTGGACCTGTATCAGCTTCTTCTTCATAATAATAATAATAATCTTCATCCTCTTGTCCCTCTTCGTGTTTCCCATTGATAAATCTTTTCGTCTCGAAGAAATCGTAAGGCGAAGAATATGCACTTTCTGTACGGCTACCATATGCTGATATTGAGCATTCCTGGGCATAGATAGTTGAGTGAAAAAAAAGTAGAAATTTCTATATACTATATATATATGTGATACTCTCCTGGTGAATTATTGGGGGGTTAATTTAAATGGGGGATTCGTTTTGTCTTGAAGAACAACCTCTAATCTGTTTGGACTTTTTACAAGGAAGCAAACAAAAGGGTTGTTTCTTTTTATAGATGTTTCAAGGGATCATGGGATGAACATTAGCATGTAGAAATATGTCGAGTTAGTTAAATTTCTTACTATTTTAACAGTACTTCCGACTATGACTAGAATGTACTATTTTAACAGTACTTACCCTAAAACTCTTTTCCATGGTGATAGACCCATACCCAAAGTTCCCTATTTGCCCAACAGTAATCACTCCAGTTGAAGAAGAAGATGAAGGGGAATAACCTGCAAACGCAACTCTAGTAAAAAAATAATAATAAATATAATTCCCTGTCTGGAAAGAGGAAAGGGAAAGAGAAAAGAGGGAAGAACCAGGAGCTATGTTGTTATTTGCAAGTGTGGAACTGGTAGGTTTATGCATGGGGACATGATGATGATGAGTTGTGGAAGAGGAGAGCCTAGTCTTTTGCCTCTCACGAGCCTTGTGGTTCTGAAACCAATAAAACACATTCTTGCCTTCGATTTTACCGTACTGTCTAAGTGTAGCAGAAATCCTCTGAATCTGATCACCACTAGGGGACCTAACTCCGTTGTTGTAGTAAAGCTCCTTCAATATTCTAATCTGCTCAGTGGTGGGACTCCACCGTGTACTACTTTGCCTGCACAGAATGCTTCCTTTCCCACTGTCACCACCACTACTATCTTGATCATTTGAACCTAGTTGGTTTTGCTGCTGCTGCTGTTGTTGTTGATGGGGTACCATGATGGAAAATAAATCAAAGAGAAGCAAACAGAGATGAGTAAAGACAGAATCAGAGAAGTGTTAATTAATCAAGTAAAAACCGCATGAAATGGAGGAGATATAAGGAGAGACACATGGAGGGATGAAGAGAGGATATCAGAGATAATATCTCAGAGAGGACTGAGTTGACAGAGAGATGTTCATAAAAATGGAAGGGACAAAAGAGGGCATGGAAAGGAAGGATATCAGTGGAAATTGCTTGGATGAAAAGGCATGACGAGGTATTATCATGATTAAACCAGCCTTTCTGATGAAAGAAAGAAAGGTCATAATATTTTAAGAGTCTACAAAGATGCATATTACAATGCTTTTCTCTCTAGCATTCTTGGCTATGACTTATAGTGCTTTGATTACCCTATCAACCAGCTGATGATGTGCTCAGTTTCTGCTATATGAAATATATATGCTTTTAAATGATTTTCATGATTCTTATCTTCTATAAACACACCATCCTTGCTTCTAAGCTATATAGTCCTATCTATATAATTAGCTAATATTCCAGCCCAATTTTGTCTTTTCAGTCTCAAAATTGCAGAGATATGATCATCTTTTAATCACCTTGTTGTTACTTTGCAGCCATCTCTGAATTTCTTGTGTTGTAAAATGTTATAATGTCCATGAATTCAACGTGTAAATAGTCTTTATTCCCTTTTTCTACAAATTCTGACTGCTGCTGCAATCCTCTTTCGTTTCTTTTCTTTCTTTCAGATTTTTTCAGATTGTGTTTCGTAGTTGATTATGACATTACCATCATGATGAGATTGCCGCTCCTTTCATGCATCGTTTTCTAACTCCTCCCAAACACTCTTTTAAAAACCTTTTTAGCCATGATTTGCCACTGGAAAAGAAAAACCCTTTTTTAAAAAACAAAAAACCCATTTTTTAAAGGAAAAAATTGTGTATTTTCTCTTACCCAGAATCTCTAGCCGATGAGGCTGCTTACCAAGTTTGTGCTAAAAGTGTTGCAGCCGCCTATGGTACCATGTGGTTTTTCTTACGGGTAATCATATCCCTTGTGCTGTTATTTTCTTCTCCCATATCTGTAAACATAACATCACTATATCTCACCTTTATCTGTTTTATTCTCTCGTCAATCCCTCTGCCAATGAGCATGGTCTAAGGCAAACCCTAGCCACCCACAATCTTGCTTTAATAACGGCAGTTGGTCATAAATACATTTGGAGCTTCAACAAAACTTACTTATGATGGGATGATTGACACTCAAGTTTTGATAACAGACAGTGTCTTAATATACTTCTAGTTATGGGACCCAAGTGTGATGTAATTAGGGTCTGGACCACCATTTTTGGTCTAATTATTTATATAGGTTTAATTCATTTATTTATGTTTGTAATATTTGTATTTTTCGAAGTCCAAAATTTCGGCTCTGGTACAAAAGATGGATGTTCCATCTAGCACGTTATTTTATACATATTTGGATTTGGTTAGAGGGTGAGATGGAAGTGCCCTGGAAATTCAAGCTTGCATTCCCAATGATTTTCGATGGCTAAAGCTGCAACCCTCGACATTATTCATCCTTATCATCATGAACCGATACGATATCTCAGTTTGAAATTTTCAGTGCAGATTAATGATGCCCATGTTTGATCATAAAATCAAATATTAAATTCTAAAAAGAAACTGATTTAGCTAAGCCAATGAGAAAATTACTTCTCAACAGCGGTAAGGAAAACAAAGTACATATAATCATGGGCGACTCAGAGTTAGGATCCAATGTTAAGTGGTACAAAATTATTTTTATATTAAAATAATATTAATTTATTAAATATTAAATTTAAAATTAAGAGGATAAAAAATCTTATTTAACTTACATTTAAATTAAAAATATGTAAAATATTATTATACCAAAAATTTTGACAGAAATGTCTCAGAACCTTTTCAATTTCCTCTTTTCCAAGTTGAAAACTCCCACAAACCCAATCAGAAGGTGGTTAAGCCGAAGCCAACTATATGCCCGAACACCGACGCCGGAGACTAATGTCTCTACAGTTGACGTTTGTATTTATCCCATAAACTATAAACTGTATTATTATAGGGTAAACATTAATATTAAATGTTTGAGAATTATTTTTAACTTAATGTCAAAATAAGTGTACAAATTATATATCAATTCCTGAATATGTTTCTAAATTATTTTTTATCTATCCAGGTGCCTAACTTTTCAAACATTATCATTTAGGTGGTCGGCTGTCAACGACGTTAATTTTTCTCGTTAAGTGGCACGTGTCACAATCTGGTGATTTTGGAATTTATTTTTTAAATATTATTATATTTCTAAAACACCGTAATTTCTATTAAATTATAAAAAGCCTCAAAATCTCTAAAATCTATGAATTCTACCCCTGCCGCCGTCCTTTCCGGCTACGACCACCATCTTCGACGTAGTCCCCGCCATCCTCCTAGTCATACACTATCGTAGTTGTCGTCGATTGACCGTCAAGATCGCGTGGGATCACGATTTTCATCTTAGGGCTAGTGGTATAAAACGTCAATTGGTTGTCGATCGATCGACGTTTAATCACGATTTTATAAGGGTTTTGGTCGCCAAATATGTTTAAGTCGGGTGGAGCTTCGTCGACAGTAAAGGGAGACGATCAACGTGGATTTACGGTTGACATAAAGATTTTCAAAGTTTTGGGGTTATTTCAAGATATTTATGTTTTTCTTTATATATATATATATATATATATATATATATATATATATAATTTAATTTTTAAATTTTAAGTAAAAATTTTAAATCACCAGATTGAGGCACGGGACACTTAATGGAGATGTAATGTTGTTGACGATCCAGGCACCAAAATGGTAATTTTTTTAAATTTAGACATCTGGATGTGTCAAAAAATAGTTTAGGCACCTATTTAATAATTGATGTATAATTTAGAAACTTATTTTGGTATTAAACCTTATCTTTTAATACATTGTATTTACCAAAACTAATAAAAAAAATAAGTTTGTGGAGACGAAATGACCCACTCTTCCTAAAAATTTTAATTTTTTATATCTTTTAAATATTTATTTTATATTTTTATTAAAATTATGTTTTCTTCTTTAAATGTTATAAATTCTTACGTACTTAAAATTTTATAAATTCATCTCTAACATAAAATAATATTCTCTTTTAAAATAATGCAATCAATTAACAATACAGTTGTCGAGCACACAAGTAGGAGGAAGTACATCCCACCTGATCAGCCTTCTAATGATAATTACAATAAAATGTTAAAGGATTAAGAAAAAAATTAAATTTGTTTTTAAATAATGATAATTAGATTTCATTAATAAAAATAAAGAAATAAATTAGAATTATAACACATTTAAACATAGAGATAAAAAATGAAGATAATAGTCTCAAGAAAAATTCATACAAAAAATATTAAATTCAAAGATACGAAGAAAAATAAAATTTTCTCTAAAGAATGACTATCAACATTAAAAGAACTGAATCACCCTCCTAAAAACTCCTTATTACTTTTGAAGAAGACACTTTACGAAGTGATAAAGGGGTGATGAGCGAAACAAATTATTTGGCAGGATACTTCACTACACAATTCTTATTATATCGACAAACAATTTTTTACCAAAAAAGAGATCTGACCATAATTGACCACCGACAAATCAATTAAAAATAAATATCGTGAGAGTTTTTATGCGAGCCTTAAAACAATCACAAAGATATATGAAAACAACCACAAGCGGAGATAAAATCATGTCAAAAAAACAATGATTCTTATTCAAATTTAAAAAAACTCTAAAAAAATACATGATATAAAAATGAGTAATCACTTGTAATCAATAACCAATATTAAAATTAATACCATCGTCGATTAAACAAAAATAAAAAAATGATAAAGGTGACATAAAATATTAAAAGAAAACCTAATTAAAAAAAATTGTTATTACTCCTATAATTTGAACTAATTATACAAAAGAGAAATAAAAAATAAATAAAGAATTTCATTTTTAAGAATAAGGACATTTGATTGGGTGGTCAAACTACTCATCTTTACTCTTTTATATTCCGGTTATGTATTTTAGACATACGAGAAGCACTTTTTTTTTTTTTGGTGATAAAGAAGATTGCAAATATCAAATAATGTCGAGTATCCCTTGTCCATTGTTGTCATCCTGCAGAATTGACGCAACCTCCATAGGTGGGTTGTAAACAATCTATCCTGAGCCTCGACTTAAACAACCCATTTTAGCTAGCATATCCGCAACTTTGTTGGCATCTCTGTAAGCATATCGAATTTGCACCTCCCAATCTCTTCCTGTTAGGTCGAGCACCCGATCTAAGAGAGGAAACCAATTACCTTTAGGAATTTTTTTTTGTATCAGCCAAATAACCTCAAGACTATCCACTTCTAAAATAATTTGTCGTTCTCCCAAATTCCATGCAAGTAAGAGACCCTCATAAATTTTCCATAGCTCCGCTTCAGCAACCGAACAAACACTAATAGCCTTCGAGAACCAAAGTAATCAGTCACCCTACCATGAGCGAATAACACCACCGCAAGATGCAAAATCATCCGCATTATCACGATCACCATACGTATTGAGCTTACACCAATTTTGAGGAGGGCGTAGCCAAAAAATGCTTCTTGTCCTATGTTGAGTAGTAGTACTTCCTGAAAACAATCTTGAATTCAACTCTCGAAGAACTTCACTTTTAGGTGTCTGCACTTATCCAAACACTCCGCATATAAATGTTATCAGGGTCAAAAATCCTCATATTACGATGAATCCAAAGAGACCATAAAATAGAATCGAATAGTAGGTCACAGTCCTTAGCATGCGCGTAATACCCCGGAGACACTAGATTTATATGGATCCAATCCTTGATCTCTCTTTGAGAAATTCAATAGTTTATCCTTCTGAATTAACTCCGACCAAACAATAATGACTGACGAACACTTCCCGAAAAGATGGTCAATCAT